TGTACTGTGCACAGTATTGAGGTGGAATAAGAATTAAATCCTCTTGGGCCTACCCTCAATTAAATTTAAAAAAATCCATATTCTGCAATCCACATCTTGCAAGGAAAATCCATGTCTGTAAGCAGAAGACTATAGGTCTCAGATCTACCACCTTCTAGATTGTTATGAAAGCTAATGTTTATCATTAATTGCTGCGTCATTAGAAACACATGACAGTTTTTCAGTGAAGATTTGTCCTCCGAACCAATTTCTTGTCCTAAGAGTGCAGGAGAATTCATTTTTAAGTCACTAACAGATATAACTCTGATTCTTTCCCAAAGCAGTTAAATCAGAAATTTACTACCAAATCTGTAGCAGATTAGAGACACAAAGTGGGATGAACTTCTGCTGGTGACAGAGACACACTTTCCAATTTTATATTCTGGATATTCTCTCTAGTATCTTGACACCAACAAAGCTACAACAACACTGCAAATAACATTTACAATGTAAACCAATGTCTGAGGACCAAAGTTCATTCTCATTTGCATTGCTGTTAATGTAAAGTAATGCTACTGTGTTCTATTGCGATGATCCAATTTTATACTTTATGTAGCTATGAGCACAATTTGTAATTTAATCTGTAGTGTCCATTAGGCAGAGGTAAGGAGAGCAAGCCTGACAGCCCCTAAAATGCACATGAAGTAACCTGCATATTCTCTCTGTGAAAGCACAGTGTAGTTCTACAGTATCTGTAACTACACTGCCAGATCAGTAAAATCAGCTGCTCCATCTATGCATTCTGCAGCATATGTGCCTGGGATAGGTAAAAATTTCAATGTGCAGAAGCTCTGTACAATCATCACATACACGGAATGGAATGGCAAGATGTGTTAATCAAGGGCAATTTGAGCCTTATGATTTTGTTGCTCGTTAGTTTTTATTTGACAATGAGATTTTCATACACACAAATAATTTATCTTGTACAGGAGACATTCAGTTGGATGGAAAAACATCACCTACCAAGGAAGCTCCTGACCCAGGCTGAATCTTTTATTTGGGCATGGAGGCAATTGCTCTGCTTTATGGATCATATGTACCTCATGCCCAAGAACCACAGACACCTTTCACTTGGCCCTTTGATTTGTTGGAAGGAGTGAAAGAGGCTAATTAAATTAGACAGCCTAAATACCTGCAGTAACCATATAGATGCTGCACAAAATTATGCTTGGATTTTTTAACTGTACAATTCCGATCTCATCCACTCTGCATAGTCAGGTCTCAACCTGCAGGTCTGTGAGAATATCCCAATATGGGGGGGGGGGGGGGGGGGGGGGGGAGAGGCGTCCTGCG